TGTGTGTGTGTGTGTGTGTGTGTGTGTGTGTGTGTGTGTGTGTGTGTAGGGTAGTAAGTTAAATGAAACACTGTCAGCTTAATGTGGTTGTAAAACAAAGCATGGCTGTGCCTGGTGTGGCATTGAAAGTTTGAGGAAAGAAAGTAGGAAATGTTGAAGCAGCAGGTATGTTTGCCAGGTTACCGGGTTTGTCATACTGTATAGTAATTGCTTACTTTTCTCCCTAATAAACATGAGTTCCTTGAAGACAGGCACTCAGTCAGCTTTTCGAGGAGTTTGAAGATGTAAATGATTGCTTGAAATGGCAGGTGTAGCATGGGCTGGCAGGTGCTGTGCAGGCATCTGGAAACCCATCTGAAGATTGCCTTTAGTTGCAGCACTTGGGAGGTGGAGACAGGAGGATCTCTGTGGATTCAAGGCCAGGATGGTCTACACAGTGAGTGCCAGGACTAAATAGAGATCCCTGTCTAAAAAAAAAAAAAAAAAGGGTGAAGGAGAACGTTGACTCTGCAAAATTGTCCTCTCACCTACACACACACACTGGCATGCATTGCCCACCCCAGTCATACACACACATAATTTGTTTGTGTTTTTTTTTTTAAAGAAAGCCAACCTAATAGTTAAGTGCTCAGTTCTGTCCAGGGCTTGGCCTGGTTGAGTTCAGCTGGCTGTGTGACTGCTCCAGAGCATGGTTTGATTGTTAAGGGGGTGTAGTTAGCATCTTTGTCAGTGAAGAACGGATCACAGCCTCAGTGCTCAGTGCTTGCATTTGAGCATCACCTGCAAAAGAGTGGGTGAAAATGGGAGTGGAATAGGCCAGTCAGGGCCCTGGGATCTATGCAGTGCTTAGGATGGTGTCAAATAGACAAAAATCAGCAAGCCACAGAGGAAGATTGAGGGATTTGGGTTTGTGTGGCTCTAATCCATCCAATTGCCCCTATGGGAGAAATGGTGGTTCCAGCGGAGGAGGAATGCTGAGTCATGTCCTCAGGAGCAACACCCAGACATTAAAGCCACTGTGGGTCTACGTCTAGCAGAGTGCCATGGTTCTGCTCTCCCAGCTGCTAGCAGGAGAGCGATAGTGACGGAATGTTCTGGAGACATCTTTCAGAGATTCAGAGGACGATGCTAGGATCCGTGCTAACGCAGTGACCAGGGCTACAGAGAAGAGGGAGTGGTGGGAGGTGAGATGAACCCTGGGTCTCACCTGGGAAGTGAACTGGTTTGACCACACAGCCTGGTGGAGCTGCCAGGACCTCATGTGTGACTGTCTTCCTCTAGCAACCAGACCTCATGGCGGAAAGCCAACCTTACCTGCAAAATTGCCATTGACAACCTGGAGAAAGCAGAACTTCTGCAGAGAGGAGACTCCTTGAGGCAAAGGTATCATCTTTTTATCCTTCTGGGCTCTGATAACACAACGTCTAAGTACTATGTGGCGGCCTTTATTTTCGAAACATTTGTACTTTATGTTATTGAATAAGTTTTTTTTGTTTGTTTTTTTTGTTTTTTGTTTCTTTTTGAGACTGGGTCTCATACGTCCCAGGGTGGTCTCACACCTGTGTGCTCTTACAGGTGTGAACCACCACACCAAGTTTCTGCAGTTCTGGAGATCCCACCAAGGGCTCTGTGTACACTAGGCAAGCACTCTACCAGCCAGGTTACATGCCCCGCCCTGACTAAACTCGGCTTTTGTTTTGTTTTCATTTGGTTGTTGGGTTTTTGTATGTTTTATGTAGGAGTAGGGTTTTGAACCTAGGGCTTCATGCATGAGGGGCACATGCTCTACCATTGAGCCTTTCCAGCCTTCCTATCCCAGTCCTCCCTGATTATTTTTAAAAGACTTTCATTTAACCACGCATGTGTAGTGTTTATGGTATTAACCAGCCCTGTTGGTGTGTTTGCGTTTCTGCCTTTTCAGTAGTGTTTGAAATGCCTCTAGGCCAGCTCTGTCTGGTTCCTTTGAAGAAGGAGTTTTCTGGGAGTGAACAAACATTTCTGAGTCTCTCCACATGTAGTACACGCTGCTTTACAGACAGCCACAGCCTGGCTTCCATTCCTCCTAGCCTACATTCTTGAGCCCAGCATACATCCTTAGCCATACCGGCCGACGTTTTAGAAAGGTGTGACCAGGGTGCTGGTGGCACACGCCTTTAATCCCAGCGCTCAGGAGGCAGAGGCAGGCAGATCTCTGAATTTGGGGCCAGCCTGATCTATAGAGTGAGTTCCAGGACATCAGGACAGCTAGGGCTACACAGAGAAACTGTTTCTCAGGGAAAAGAGAGAGAGAGGGAGAGAGAGAGAGAGAGAAAGAAAGAAAGAAATGTGTGCTAGCTGGCTGTGTTACCGCACACCTGTCATCCAGCACTTGGGGGTGGCTGAGGCGAGGACATTGTGCCTTCTAGGCCAGGCTGAGCTACATTTGGAGACCTCCATCTCAAAGCACAAACAGAAGAAGTACTAATGCAATAAGTTTAAAATGGTGCTTTTTGCCAGCTAGGCTTTTGTTACTTTTGCTGCTTCCTCTGAACTTGCAGGAAAACTACCAAAGAGAGTTTGGCCCAGACATCCAGCAACATCACAGAGAGCCTCATGGGGATCAGCAGGATGATGTCACAGCAGGTGCAACAGAGCGAAGAGGCTATGCAGACTCTAGGTAAGGAGGAGGACACTGCTCTAGAACACACACCCTTGCCTCTCTGTGCACTTCTCCGGCTCTTCCCAGCTGTAGCTTCCTGAGACAGCTTGGTCCTTCCCAGGGAGGTGAGCTGTTCCTCCTCTGCTGTCAGTTGTGCAGCTGTGCTAGACACACCGTGCGCCATCAGTGCCTCCTGAGGGAAGCATTGCTAGGCTCACAGGAGAGTGGAGCTGGCCAGCCTCTCTGGAGATGGTGTCAGCAGTGCTCGCAGGGGGTCTGGGAGTCTGGTTTGCAGCATGGGCTCATGGTCTAATATTGCCAGGCAGGTTTGGGAATTAGGGCCACTGTTAAGACCATTACTGAGTTCCTTTTAAATGTAGCAGCTAGTGGCCACAGAGGAGGCTGTTTAAGACCATGGCATTCTTGTCAAGTGCCTTCTCACCATGGAGAATTTGTCCTTTGTAGAGAATTTACTCCTTTAGGGCCCTTCAGTGTAGGGAACAGAAGAAGAATTTTCTCTCCACAAGACTTCTTATCAACCAAGGTAGACAGTGAGGTTTGGTAAATTCTTGAACCTACTGCCATGTTCTCATGGCTGTCACTCACAGCCACCTTGTTTCATTTCTACCCTCAGTTCATCCTCTGTCCCACACATCATCCAGGAAAGTAGCTAAAAGCTGATAATAAAGCTCTACAGAGATGGCTCAGTGGTTAAAAGCAGGAACTGTTCCTCAAGAGGACCCAAGTTCAGTATTTAGCACCCAAGTCAGGCAGCTTTTAACTGCTTATAGCTCTACAGACATCTGCACTCACATGTGTATATCCACCCAGATATGCACATAATTAACAATAATAAAAATAAATCTCACCTCCCACACCCAACCCCCAGCTCAGGCGCTGGCCTTGTTGGCAGCCAGCCAGTAGCTTCAGCTCTTTGTTGTCCGGGTGGTCTGTTCTGAACCAGTCTCTTCTTCTCTTGCAGTCAGCTCCTCACGGACTCTCCTGGATGCAAACGAAGAGTTTAAGTCAATGTCAGGGACCATCCAGCTGGGCCGGAAGCTTATCACAAAATATAACCGCCGCGAACTAACGGACAAACTTCTCATCTTCCTTGCCCTGGCCCTGTTCCTCGCTACGGTCCTCTATATTGTGAAAAAGCGCCTCTTTCCATTTTTGTAAGTGAGAGCTGCCAGCTGGGGCCCTCTGCATTCCTGCATCGGGACCGGCAGCTCTCAAGGACTGGCCAGGCTACTAGACTGGGCTTCCCCTCTCCCTCAGGGGCTTAGTGAACCCAGTGGAGGGGAACACAGCAGCCCAGCTTCCTGCAAGAGTCTGCTTGGAAAGGCCGTGTGGAATAGAGGAAATGAAACCTTCAGGACAGAGTGGTAGCACTGTGGCTGCCTTACGGAACACTTCAACCCTGGGACCTGATGCACCTCCTCCCTCCATGGCCTGAGGCATAAGTCCTAGATCTGGTGGGGGGGCGGTGACGACAGCTTGTGGCTGTTCCCTGAATAAATCTCACTTATTAAATGGAGTGAGAAATGCTGAATTTTATAAGAGATCTCTGGGAATGTTGCATGCCTCATCATGTTGATTCCTAGGACATGAAGTTAGATTATTCAGCAAGGAGTTAGTGAGGCTCAATGCTTAAGAGCACTTGCTGTTCTTCCAGAAAGCTGGGGTTCAGTTCCCAGCACCCACATGGCAGCTCACAACCACCTCTAACTCCAGTTCCAGGGGATCTGATGCTGTCTGTAGGGGCAGGCACATAGTACACATACATACATGCAGGCGAGCACTCACCCATACATTGCTCTTTTAATTTATTGAGGGTGAGCTGGCTCAGCTGGTAGAGGCACTTGCTAATAAATCTGATGACTTGAGTTTTATCTGCAGACCCACAAGTAGGAGGAAACCAGTTCCAGGAAGTTGCGTGGCAGCTGTGGTTTGTGTTGTGTCTGCATACACACAAATAAATAAAAGAAAACAATGGTGGAGCAGCTGCCACAGGCTGATTCCCAGACACTGCCAGATATTACATACTCAGTTGTGACGCTCACACGCTCCCTCCAGCAGAAGGGAGATGTCAGCAAGGGGAAGTACAGATAGCCGCCACCAGTGCAGCCCACAGTGTTCAAAGTGCCGAGATGGGTCTTCCTCCCCCAAGCCACTGCAGTGACTGAGGACTCACCCCCTTTTCTCTAGTTCAGACTAAGTGTGACAGAGCGAGAAGCCAGTGCCGCTGACACCCAGCTGTGCCCAGTTCTGCTGAAGCCCCAGGTACAGGCTCCTACCTGGGCCAGCCCTGCAGGTGCCAGTGTCCCCCGTCCTGTCAGCTGGTCTTGTCCTTGGGGTTTTGTCTGCATTGCTCGTAGCCCTGGAGAGCCCGGAAGGCAGAGAATGAGTGGTAGAGCACAGGCCTTGAACTGGGAATGTTCAAACCACGTGGCCTCAAGCAATTTACCTTATGTTGCTGTCAGTTTCCCCATCCACACAGTGAAAGTGATTGTAGTGAGAATTTTGTTTTTTTTTTTTTTTAAAAACCCCGTGATGCTGTGTGAATTTTTGTTTGTTTGTTTGTTTGTTTGTTTGAATCCCAGGTGTGGAATATGGGGTTGCTTCAGATTGTCCGCATGCTCTAGGAGGGGTGGGATTTTCACCAGCTACAGAGAGTTTATGTTTGAAATTCTGGGGACTCTTGAGAGGGTATAAATGTAGGATGCCCTAGAGGGCCTGTGGCAGGCTCCTGCTCTCCCTGCTGCTGCTTTTACTATTGCTGGATTGCTGATTGCTGCTTAGAGATATCCTGACGATGAAGATTGGACCTGACCCAAGGATCTTGGTACCCAAAACAGCAAAAAGTAGACTGGTGAAGTCTATGCCCCCTTTCCGAAACCCTAACCTTCTTTCTCGCCTACGTAGAATTAGGACATCGGAAGGGATTGGGGTGGAGAAGGGTGGTAAATCTAGGAACCCAATAAGGTAGCCAAAAAGCCCGGTTACAAGTGATAGTCCAAGTAGGACTGGTTTGTATGAAAGGGAAATGGGAAGTAGCAGGTGTAGCTCCCCCATTCCTAGGTTTTCGTCCAGCTTCTCAAATGCTGGGAACCCTGAACACTGGGGGTCCCACAGCAACAGCAGAAGGCCTTCTTCAGAAGCCACCAGGGAAAGCAGTTCTGTTGAGACTGGTGTGAGCAGCAGATACCAAGAATCAAAGCCTCCGCTGGGAAGGGGCAGGTCATCTTGGGACTAAGTATGTGGCATTGGCTGTATGCATCAGACTGACTTAGTCAATACCATGCAAGTGGAGAGGTGTACGTGTGTGTGTGTGTGCGCGTGTGCGCGCGCATCACAGTGCATGGCGGAAACTACCAATCCAGCGGTACAGAGTCCTACACGCTAGCACTGAACAGTCAGTCTGATGGCTGGGTATAGCGGGCGGGCTGAGTATGCAGAGAACACATGCTGGGCAGACCCATGGTTCCCTCATGGGCAGTGTGGGACAGAACAGGAGCGTCCACTAAGGATGCTGTGTAACTAAAAGCCCATGTATGAACCGTTCAGTTCCGGAATTTTTCATTCTATATGGTTTGTAAAGGAAACCACACACACACACACACACACACACACACACACACACACACACACACATTCTTAAACAATTCTTAGCCTCCAAAGGCACTTGGTGAGATTATACACCCAAATAGTCTCATTGAGCTGAACGAAGCAGTGATGGGAATTCCCACTCGGATTCCAGCTGTGAGAACAGCAGGTGGATGCTATCAAGCAGGGATTTTCTTGTCTTAACATTTCTCTTTACTCTTCCATTAATTGTCAACATCCTCACAATATGGAAATGTACGGGTTCCGCACTCCCTAAAAATTCTTCTTTTGGCACTTTATCCTTTTGCTTGTCTCCTGAAAATACAGACTGATTTGACCTATTTATACAAGTCACGAGGAAGGCATCTTAAACGGGACGGGCCATCTGCAGCCTAACTCTTCCTAGTTAGCCGCGCAGAACACAGCCTTCCACACTCAGCCATGAGGGGGCAGTGTCCACACTTACGCTATTCTCTGTAGGAGCAGTGACTGAAATGTGCTGCCTACATTTAAAAAGAGAGGGTGAAAAAAAAAAAGACAACAAAATATGTGCAGTCTCTGGGGCTTTGGGTGTCCGAAAGTTCCCTTAATATCTGAGTATCCAGCAAGGCAAGCTCATACACTTCATTTTGATTGGCCAGTGGTAGTGGAGTTAAAAATCCAGAGCAGCCTCTTCAAGGGAACATTCAAGAGGCATTTGCTGAGTGCCTACTGTATGCCCAGCGTGTGTCACAGAGCTGTAGTGTGTGGGCGAGGCGAACAGATGATAAACGATGTCCATTTTAAATACGTCATTCATCATGTCAGAAAATGCAGTAGGCTTTCTGTATCCTTGGGTTTCTCAGTCTGCAGATTCCGCCACCTTTATATTTCAAAAAGAAAAGTGGTATAGAGTTTACTTGTCATTATCCTCTGAATGGTGCAGTGTAACAAGTATTTTTCCAGCATTCACACTGCTTAGGAAGGAGGAACTAGGAGTGTGCAGGGCCCTGAGTGTGCCGGGGAACATGGACCCACCTAAGGCGTGTTTAGGTGGAGGAGAGATGGTTTGGTACAAAGCTTGGTCATGGCCCGGGTGTGGGGGCACACACCTTTAAATCCCAGCACTCGGGAGGCAGCGCCCACCAGCCTGGTCATGTGCGGAGTTCCCTGCCAGGAAGGGTTGCATGCTGGGCAACTGATGGAAGAGGGGTTAGCCCAGCAGGCCCTGGGAAAGCCTAACCAGCTCTCAGGTGGCACACCATCTTGGTTTGTCCCACTTCTCTGTCAACCCTCTTTCTCTTTCTGTCATTCATTTTCTCAACACCCTAAATGCTCACTTGGATCCCGCTCTCTCTGCTTTCCCCTGCAGTCTCTCAGAGCCGAGGGCCATGCAGCCACAGCTTTGGTCATCTTTACAGAGTGCCAATAGTCCCAGACAGCACAGCCTCCTCGGGAGCTCAGGACTACAGCCACCCCCACCCCTGTGTGCTCCTCTGCTTCTGTCTTCCCTAACACACTTCTTCCTGGATCTGGTTAAGACTAAGGGTATGTCATCCCGAAATGTGAGTCTGTGAGACCAGCTCAAGCTAGACTTTGTGGGGACCAGAGAGAGGACTCAGTTGTTGCTCTTGCAGAGGATCTGGCTTCAGTTTCCAGCACCCTCACAGCTCTCCATGACTCTAGTTCCAAGGATCCGAAGCTTCTGACCTCTGTAGTGATCAGGCACTTACATACCCATAGGCCAGATACTCAGACACATTAGAGAAGCCCTTTTTCAAAAAACTTCTTTGTTTTCACATGAGGTCTCTCTATGTACCTGGAACTCATACTGTAGACCAGGCTGGCCTCGAACTCAGAGATCTGCCTGCCTCTGTCTCCCAAGTGCTGGGATTAAAGTGTGCACTACCATGCCTGGCACTCTTAAAAAAAAAAAATTAAAGATTGACTGTTCTGGCATATATTGAGCTGTCAGTGCTGAAAGACACCAGCTCAGGAGGCCCTGAAAGCTTCATAAAGGAAAACTACATCAGTCCATGTCTCTGGAAGACACCTGACTCCCTGAGTGTGGCATTATCTTCGTAAACAACCAAAAGTCACTGTCCATTCCCTGCGTCCCCCTCCAACCTCCTCCTCAAGTAGCTCAGAGGCTGGAGAAACGTCCATCACCATCTTGTTCCGCAGGCCTTTCCTGTGCACGCGCGTAAGTAGGTACAGTTTTCCTCCTGTCACTCTGTTCTAATTTAATTGCTAGCCTGGGAGTGTTGGAGGACAGTCACATTCTCCTTCACCGCCGTCCCTTCTCCCTTCACCCACCTGTCTTCCTGAAGCCTTGTACCACACTAGGAAGCAAGACTGCTTTATTCTTACCGAACCAGCCATTTGGGATCTATTGTGCTGCTGGGCGCTGGTGACCTCTAAGGCCCAGTGGTGGATTCTGCAATGGGATTCAACTTAAAGGCACTTTAAAGGAATAAAGATTTTAAAAGGATTTTTAGGGGTCTTTTTCAAGACATGGTTTCTCTGTGTAGCCCTGGCTGCCTTGGAACTCACTCTGTCGGCCAGGCTGGCCTCAAACGTAGCGATCCGCCTGCCTCTGCCTCCTAAGTGCTGGGATTGAAGGTGTGTGCCACCGTGCCTGGCTTGAAGACTTTTTTATTTTTTTAACCAGCAATAAAAATTACTTTTTCTTCCTGGGTTAACAATGGTCTTCCCTGGGACAATGGTGGTCTTCCCTGGGCCTCTGCTCACAGCTTTGCCCAAGCTGCGCTTGAGCAAGGACAGAATAAAAATAGCTGTAGCTATCTAAGAGATAGACGGTCTGACGGGTGCTGTCAGGGATGAAGGGCTGCAGCCTGGGGCTCGGGGGCGGGGGGAGGTTGTCACCTCATTGTCCTTGCAGCCTCCAACGGTGGGCTCAGGCTACACAAGATGCCTAGGGACCCACAGCACAGGGCATGATGC